GGTGTGAACATTTATCAACAGAAAGGCTTTCAGCTTTTTTTGTATGTGTTTTTTTTTCCAAATTTTTTAATGATAAAATACCCTTGACAATCAAGTGATTTGGTTGACTTCACCATGATGTCCTCTGAAAACCATTTTATTTAGTAGGCAGTCTTGGAGACTGTAACCAAGTGTTCTTAGTTTAATCATTAAAGATAGAAATTTTAAATATTTTACAAATATTTAAGATCTCATTGTTGATTTATTTCTAGGAACAACAGCCAACCTTTGATTTTCGAAAAAAGTAATTAATGTCACTCGTGTTTGTATGAGTCTCAGTCTTTTTGTTTGTTTCTTCGTGTCAATAATTGTGTCACCACCATTTCCCTGCACATTTTCTTTCTTTCTTTTTTTTATTTATTTATTTATTTATTTTGTTTGCAAATAAAGTAACAAGTTGGTTGTGCCTTCTAAAATGAACTTGGAGGAGTTTGGTCGATGGCCCGACTGAGAGGAAGAGATTTCACACAAAGTACTGGTGCTTGTTACCAGTCTTAAGTTGTTTACGAAACTGTAGAAATATGCAAACTAAACAGAAGGTGACCTTTTGTTTCGAACCCATTTGTCTTGGTCATGGTGGTTATGTAATTGAGTCTCTGGCCTGTGTAGACCTCTGTTAATCTCTAGGGGAATGCTAAAATATGTTATGTAAAAGTGCTCCATGTTTAGGATTATAATCCCTCAAAACACAGAAATGAATCCCGAACCCTTTGAGTCTCCCCTCAAACATCACGGATAGGTCTTATTACAGTAGAAACAAGTGATTCACCCTGATCTCAGAGATGGGGCTCAGAGGAGTTATTTTGGAAATGAAGGCGTCTTTTGAAACCTTCCATCTCCTTCTCCTTACTGCAAGTCACTGAAAGTGAACCCCGAACAGATTTCAGAAAGAAGAAAAAACTGTAAAGAGTTTTTATACACTCTTTTTTAATTGGGAAGCAACTTGAAGAGGTTTTACGTCCGGAAAATAATCTGCCGTTTTAACGTCACCCCTTTTTCGTGTTTTTAGTATGTTCTCATCCCCTGTTACTAGTATTCAGTTGTGTGCTTTGGTCATTTTAGGCTCAAGGTTGATTTGCCTTGGTTGTACTTTCTGCATATTGCAATGCCATTGCATCAAAAGTGCAGGTCTGGAATCTCGCTGTCGTCGATCCGCGCAGAAGCCGTACTTATGACCCACAGCGCAGCCTGCTGGAAGGCCAAGGTACTTATTAGCTGAAAGAGTCGTCATTGGTCTATTATTCATGGGACAGCCACGCCTACTCTGCTCCACTGAAATTAACATAACTGGCAGTTGGGATATCATGCTGCTTTTGGGTTAAGCAGGTGTCAGGGTTTTTGAACTAGAGAACAGGAGATACAGGCCTAGATCTTACCATGGACTGATCAATTTGCTGTGCTGTGTCCATGTCTGGATTGGAATGTTACTGAAATTGATGAATAGGGATCCTCGCTGCTCCATATTTCACAGAAATCCTGGGACACTGATAGGAAGCTGGAAGCAAATACTCTGGTTTTCTGGAATGTTCTTCTTAGCAGTAGTTACACTGATGGCTTCTGGTAAATGGATTCTAACCGGCTTAGTACTGTTTGACATTCCTATAAAAACAGCCTATTTATCTGTTTCAGCAAGGGAACATTGAACAGGAATTTTGAGTAAAAGTAAAACATTCAACAGCCAAAAACAATCTAATGCCTAAAATCACTGACACTTTCACCCTCTTTGCTGTAAGTACCATTCTGCATACCCCTTTAATTCTTACCTCACAAGGTAGTGCAACTTTGTCCAAAATGAGTCATACTGCTTTTATTTATGGTCACATAGGATTTTCATCTTCATGTCAAATGAGATCTGTTTTCAGCTGACTAGAAAATGTTATGGAATAAAATATTCCATCCTGCTTTTTGGTGTTAAAAGAGTTGTAAATATCAAAGTGACTTTTCATGTTCTGCCTCCTTAAAGTTGCCATAATCGTAGCGATTTGCTTACTTTGCACTGAGGGGATTCAATTTGTCTGAGATCTCAATCCTGAAGATCATTTGGAATATCTTTCCTCCACCAGTTGGAGTCTGGGAAGACTAACTGAACTCGAATGTACGCCTCTACTAAGCCGGTCTGCTGTGAGCATTTGGTAAGACTCTCTCTGCACGTCTCCTAGATACGTGCCTTTGTTCCAGACCTTGCAATACTGGGCTTCCATTGTCATAATTCTGATTCTGATGCTGTACTGCCTACTGCCATCCATTGTTACTGAATTTCAAACTATATGACCTTTTGTTAATGTGACTGAAGTAAATAAAATAAATGTATTCATCCCAGCATCAAATGCCCTTGTTCTGCTTGGTCATGTTGGTAGTGAGCCAAATTGGCAAAAGAAAGGAAATGTACAGGAAATGTACAGGAAATGTATAGGAAATGTATGGGATGTCTGTCCAGTGTCCACTGAACTGTTTGAATCATGAATATGTGGTTTCCCTGTTCCTGTCTGCTCTGGTATTCTCCACCACTGGATCCCACGTTCTTGCATTATATGATCTGCATAATTCACATTTCATGAGTTGGACCTGTGCTCCCCAGATGCTGCAAAAGTAATATCATCCTTGTTTTGGTTTCAGCTCCTTCATATCCACTTGTTTTAAGCATTGCTTCACTCTGCATTGTTGTGATTACAGAAGAGTGTGTGGAATTGTGTGCCACTTTCCTGCTATGGGGCTACAAATGGATCAACACCTCCTGCTGAAATGCCCTGAAGCCAGTCACAGTCCTGGATCTCTAACCACTTACAAAGTCACAATATATTGCATGTAACACTTTACTTGAAGGGACATGAATAATGTAGTAGTATACACTTAATTAATGTCTTAATTAACCTGCAACTAAGTGTTTGTTAAGTACTAATCCCATGTTCATAAATCATTAATCAATCATGACAGTTCATGTATTTCATGGGGAAACCTATATTAGTTCATGATTTGTTCTTGAGTAGTAAATGAGTTAAGTAATTTACTTAAATAATTAAGAAGTAATACATGAACTGTCATGATTGATTACTGATGAACAAGCATGGGATTAGTACCTAACTAACACTTTGTTACTAGTTAATTAATTAAATAAGCATGTACTACTACATTATTCATGTCCTCTCAAGTGTAACCATTTATTTATATACAGTGTTACATTTATCATGATTTATTTGAAACTATTTTCTGTATGAGAGGCATAACATCAAATTCCTTGACAGCACATCTACATCATCACAAAAGTATGTTTTTTAAATCACAGTAATATCCATTGTGTGTTTCTTGGTATAAATTCACATAGTTTTTTATGTAGGCTATCAAATAGACACTGTGGAGAGAATGATGGTGTCTTGTCTCTGAGAAATTTATTTTAGAGGGAATCAAATGAGTCTTTTCCTAAAGAGCATTAGTAAATCCAGGCTTATGAAAAAAAAAAAATATTACCCCCGGTTACGTAATATGGATGTTTAACTGAACAGATCGCCTGGTCTTTCATGTCATTTGTTCACTCATTTTAATTTCTTTCTCCTTAATTTTTTATTTTTTACTCAAATTCATGCCAACAGTGGGAGGGCGGCCACAAGATAAAAGCTTTGATTATACCAAAAGGGAAAAGGGACAATATCACCAAATCACAATGAATTTATTTACTGTCATTTATCCATTTATTTATTTTCTTCCCAAGAAGGTCTGAATGTAAAATTATATGAGTGTCTTATTCTAAAGGCTTAGCAATGAGCAGGATCAACCTTTACCATCTGAACAGTTTTAACCCTTCTTAGGAGTCTGTGTAAACTATGTGGAAGTATATCCTCCTGAGACCCAAGGAAAAAAGTGTCCTTCAATTGTAGGTTATTTGTCTTTGGAGGAAATAAGACATCTTACAATTTAGATTTTTTCAAATTTATTCTTATTTTAATTTCACAGCATGTCCTCTTTAGTGCACAACAAGAATAAATACGTTTCCCAACATCAGTGAAAAAATAAATGCAAAAATACAATGTCCACTACAATGGACATAAATGAATAGGTCGGGTCTCAGGAGGATAAAGTATTACATTGAGTGGGATATTGAACCATTCTTCAAGAAACCCAGTGAGTTACAAAGGAGGTAGAAAACTATTTCACACTCTGTGCTCCAGAACTTTCTGTAAAGGTTCAGTACTTAGATCTGGTGACTGTGGAGGCAATGAGAGATACTATGAGTTAATCCTGTTGCTCATGACACTGCTCTTGTATTTGTTTAGCAGTGTGTAAGCTGGCATTGTCCAGACAGACTATAAGGTCATTAACCTTTGTGTCTGTCAGACAGACCGCAAAAAATGAAAATAATTAAATCATGCTAAATTTTGGTTGATGCATCTTGGGCCCTAGCTAAGGATATGTGATTGCAAGTTTGATGAATGGGTGCTTCAGTACTAAGTCTATATTTCAGATTTTTTTATACTCCGAGATCGCCACGATCGTTTCTATTGTGGAGGAAAAAGTAGAGAAGGCATCACAATACCGGCGTGACTAACAAGTAGACTGAGCAAAGACTCACAGATAATTCAACTGCTACAACACACACACTGTATTATTCCTCAATGTTACGCTGTCAGCCCACTTCTGCTGTCGTCTTTTCAAACACAGACACTGTTTTCGAAAGCACTTTGTAAACCCTGTGGTTAAAACAGTGCTATATAAATAAAGATGGGTGATTGATTTTAAATAGACAAATCTCACGCGTAAAACTGTCTCTGCAGTCTATAGAAAGAACTGCCGTAAAAACCGTCTCGACCTTGTATTATAAAAACTGAATATTTTCTCCATCTAAAGTAGCCTACACAGACTGCTGAGTAAAACCCGAGTTCATTACGTCATGGTTCAGTACTATGATCCGCATATCTCCCGTCAATACTAACCAATCAAATCGCAACCATACATGCCGTTTTATAGTCAAACTTAACAGTTACTGATATTTGATGAATTGGTACAGAGGCGTCAGCAAATAGACACTGCGCGCATCCAGCTTTATGCTCCGGACCCAAAAACAGCCCAGATGAATATACTGTAACGATGCAGAAATGGACTAAATGGGGGAGTTTGGATACACTGTCGGAGGACTAAGTTTTCACTCACGATGCTTTGTTTCTCACGATTACTGTTTTTGCTCTTATGTCTTTTCCTTATCACCGAATCTCGAAGGCACAGGATGAGAAAAAGGAGGTGGACGGGAACGACAGAAACGCACAAGCACGGCACGTAAGTCTCTGACTGGAGTTTTTTTTTTCCTTTGTTATTTTTCACAAAACCGGTTAAATTTATTTTTTGCAAAGGTTTCGGTTTTGCGTGTCATGCGGTCATGGTAATTACATTTTCTATAGCTAATACTTTTAGATAATCATGGGATTGTTCAGTTGCAATTTCAAACACAGTTAATATTTATAATATATCAAATATAGCGATGGTGTACTTTTCTGCCAGGTTTTGGTTACCTGTATTTCTTTAAGATTTTTATGCTGTACGAATTAAACTGAATTTGACACAGTCATTTTATTTTGCAGCAAGTGATGTTTATTATTATGTATCTGATTACCTCATCGTGTCTCATTATGTACGGTTTTAAACGATTTCAATTTTGTAACTTGGAAGGAACACTGTACAGGTTTCAGCTGAAAAATATTAGGATTGTAATGCATTTTATATATGACTATGGTTACACAGATTTGTTTTCTCTGGTGACAGTATGCACTCTTTCAACCTGTGAAAGGTGCAGTTACGTGTGTGTGACCAGTCTTAGCGCATGTTTAAGGTTTTATAGCCCTATATGCTTTATAGGAACAAATCCATCCATAAATCCACCCATCCAGCTATCAATCAATCCATCCATCCATCCATCCATCCATTTTCTATACCCACTTGTCCTATCCTGTAATAAATGACTTCACCTTTGCTTGTTGAAGTACATACATTCACGGTTTTAAAAAGTATATAAGAGTTGGTCAGAATGGTAAAAGTGGTAGTAATTGTATACATCCTTCCAATTACTTTTCCAATACAATTACTGCCCTGCCTTGTGTCCTGTGCTGCCCAGACGAGGCACAGATCCCACTGTGAATTGTGTATTTGAAAGAAATTGGAAGATGGATAGATAATTACTATATACTTCAGATAAATACTTTACATAAGTACTCCAAAATGAACAAGAGTAATAAACAATAAGCTCTCCTCTAGATTATTACCTTAAACTGTGGAATTACATAGGCGAGATATATTTTGTAAATAACATGCCAGAAGGTTCCATAACTGACAGTATCGCCATCATTCTGATATTTGACTTTGCAGTCTGACACTTATAGTAATGCCCTGATTATACGACCAATCAGGTGATGAGTTTAGTCAGTGGATAACAATGGATTCACAACTGTACCGTAGTGATGTATGTTGAGTGTGGCATTGCTTCTCACCAGTATGTATTTGTTTTAGTGCATATGTAGCAAAGACATCTAAATATTTATTTTATGTTTCCCTTAGGAAAATTTGCCAGGTTGTAGTATTCTTATAAAACCAATGATTATTGATAATGATATTGTTTTCCTATGAGCTTCTTTTCATATATAGTTTATTGCATTGCTTTTTTCCAGGTCTTTATCGGGGAAAGCCCAAGATGGGACAAAATCTCGGAAACTGAAAACCGATCACCTGCTGCACGTGGATGATCACGATTTCACCATGAGGCCCTCATTTGGAGGTGAAACACCATCAGTCTGGGTGAAAATAAACTATTCAGTGGGATTTATTTGCCAGATGGATCTGACACCTTGTTGCCATAACTTTTCTCCCGTGTACCAAAATCTGATGGCATGTCCGACTGAAAAACCCTTATAATCCCGTGTATTTTATACTGTACACTGAGCTATGGGAACTGGCCTCACTTCCACTTGAGAGCAAATTTTCTAGAGTCAAACAGGTCAAAAAGGAAAAAAATGGAGGCAGGAAACACTGATTTACCTTTCAATCTAATTAAATGAGGCTGACAAAAATGCAGCTAATGTAGCCCTAGATTGAAAAAAAAAATAAAAAATGCTCTCATGTCTATTGTAAAATAGATGCATTATAATGGAATACTCACTTCTATTCATATTTTTATAAATTTAAAAGAAGGAATAGTATTTCTTTGCTATTTGCACTAATCATGTTTGCTACACGCATTATGTTTGCTAAAAAAAATCCGCTTAAATTCATTTTAGCAGAGTGGAGTTCACATCCTTTGAATGTTAACAGTATTATGGCATTTTAGAAGTAACCTTTAGCTCCCTCTACAGATAATATCCATTATAGTCATGCTTCAGTTTGCACCCATATAAAAGTTGCCTCTTTCAGAAGTGTTGATTATATAAATATATATGTATATACTGTGACATCATAATGCACTATAGCTACCTTCATAATGCATTACAATGGTCAGTATAAAACACTATAATGCATAATGAAGGTATTTATAGTGCATTATACATTGGAGCTTCATAGAGCATTCATAATGCATAATCAACATGGCTATGATGTGTTATGCCTTTATAAATAGTTATAGCCATGTTTATAATACTTTATGCATTATGAAGGTATCTATAAGTATACATTTTACTTGAGTGCTTTAAGTCAAGTGTTGCCAATTTCAGTTAATCTTTCACATGACAGCTACTGCAAGACTGGCATCTGCTGAAAAATTCCTTTTGGTCAAGTAACCCTCAATAGCTTAAGTACTTAGAGTGAGGTGAGAAAAAGTGCGACAGGCTAGTAAATTAGTCCCATATTGTTGTGAATGGTTATTCTGTTTTGGTTTATGCTTGGCTGCTCTTTAATGCAGGTAGGAGGACTGTAGTTTTATTAAAATATCAAATGAGATCTACCTCAGAATATCAACTTTGTACTTGACACGTATATGGGAGAATGTTTTTGCACCCAAGAACAGGAAACTGTAGAAATGCTAATATTGTTCATGGTTTTTACATTTTGAAAGGCTACTTTGCATAGGGACAACTAAAAAATTGCCTGAATTCATTATTTGGGGGTCGGGGGGGTGGTTTGAAGCTATTGTCTGGAGTATTTTTCTCATTGAAATTGCCACATAGCATAACTAAAGAGAAATGCATATTTTGACAGTCTTTTCCATCTTCAAACCACTTATTCTGGTCAGGGTTGTGGCGACGGGTGCCCGGGGCCAATCGCAGGCAGCACAAGGCACGAGATGGGGGGGCCACCCTGCATTGGATGTCAGTCCATCACAGGACACATACACATGTACTGCAGGCAAGTTTACAGGCATCAGTTAGCCCAACTGCATGTCTTTGGAATGCAGGAAGACAGTGGAGTAGCCACTGGAAAGCCACACAACACAGGGAGGAGATACAAACGCCACGCACACAGCGTGTAATTGGGATTCAGTCCCGAAACCCTGGAGGTGTGAGGCAACGGTGCGACTCACTGAACCGCATCCTTTCTCTTCAATGAAAATTGCTTCAGCCGGTTAACATACTGTGCTCTGCAGGGGCTTAGAAAGTAGGACGGAAAATAATCTAAAACAACCATGTAAATCTTACAAGATTCATATTCAGTCTGTCCACAAATACTGCAACTTATCCACTTGACTGCTGAAAACGCACGCACAGATATATAGATATCTTATATATATATATATATATATATATATATATATATATATATATATATCCGGACCCCCTGCGACTCTGAATGGGGTAAACAGTTATATATAAAACTGTTAACCCTATTCAGGGTCGCAGGGGTCCAGAGCCTATGCTGGAGGCTACGGGTGCAACCCAGGATGGGGCACCAACCCATCACAGTATACCCATTTATATACATTATATTTATATACATTGTAATTTTTATACTTATAGACCGATAGATTGTGAGGCAGGTTAAGGGTCTCTTGTGTTGCCATGGTAAGCAATCAACAGTTATAGGCCAAGAGATATGTCAGTGAGACCTAGCTAACTCTCGTTAGCTTCAATAGCTTGCCAGTGTTATTTGCAGTGGTGAGTTTTTTGGATTGTCATATGGATGCTATGTGGAATATGCACTCATAAATGCAAGAATTAATACAGGGTTTCTTTTAGAGGATGTTTGTGTTGAAATCTAGCTGCCCTGCCCTTCGGATGCTCTGTACTCTATCTGAATATGCATGCTGCATAATGTTAAAGCTGCATCCAATTAAATTTTAAATAGGTGTCCCCAGGGTCTCCCTTGCGGACGTTGTTTTTTCATGTCGACTGGTTTATTCAGAAATAACCTTCCAGTCAGATATTATGCTAATAAAACTGTCTAAATATTAGCTGAATGGTTTTTGTTTTTGTTATATGTAATTCAGTTCCTCTCAACTTGAGTATTTGTGGTATAAAAACAGAGTGCTTTTTGCCTCAGAGCTGCTAGTCTAAGAAAATTTGGAGAACACACTCTTTATATATCCAAAATAAGTTTAATTGATGATAATTAGTTTCTAGTTTTTTTTTTTGTCTTTCCCTGTACAGTCGACATTTATGCATCACGACTTTCCATATCATGGTTTTGATATATCGTGGGGTCGGCATGAGAAATTAAGTCGGAGTTTTGCAGAAGCCGCAGATGACACAGAAAAAATGTAGTAACTCATAAATGCATAAATTATACAGTATATACAGTGCTGGTTTAGAGGGTCTTCATATCTCGCTTTTCTTTGCATCGCTTGGAAAGGGGACCGAAAAATTGTACATGGTTTTCCTCCGGAGGGCCTGCATCCTAAACCCCAACGCTGTGGAAGGGTAGACTGTATTTGTTTTGTTGTTGTTACCTTTACCCAACTTATCTTACAGAAGGCACCTAACCAGTGAATGAAAATTACTTAATTACATGAAACTGCTAATCACATGTTTCTTTAAAAATAGCCTCGCTTACTTCTAAACACATACCAAGGCCGTTCCGTTGAGGGGATTTCTGTAGGGAATGAGCAGCTATGTCTGCAGGGGGTATTGCCTTAATCTCCAATACAGCTGACAGTTGATTTGGTTTTGTTGTTAATCCCTGAACATGGAAGTGTGGTATGTTTAGCATTGTGCATAGGCCTTAGTTCGGTCAGGTTGACATGCTGGATGGACACGTAACAGAATAGTGGCACTTCAGTGATGAATATGTGTCTGTTTATTGGATCCAAAACAATGAAACATTGAGTTTTTGTAGATCGAGTGCAAATGAAACTTCTGTTTTTAAGGGAATCAATACAGTATAACGTTTGGGGAAGTACTTGATGTTTTGTAGAGTGGGCAGGCATTTTGTAAGGACTGCTATGTTTATGGCAGCTGTTACCTGCTACATTATAAAAGGTTGTTACATTTAATAATTGGTGTTCATATTATTTTTACTCTTAAATGCAAACAATAACTAATTAAGTCAACTAAGGCCTTTACTGAGACGTTAGCATGGTAACTATTAGCATCCATAAGGATATTTTTTTTAAGTGGTTGGATATATTTCCACATATTAGTTCGTAATCAGGTCAGGGTCCCCTATATGCAGTGTGATGTAAGCACAGACAGACAATTGTGTTTAATGACTGCAAGTCAAAAATACTCAGTTGGTACTCATGCTTTTTTTTCTAATCCTCTCAGACAAGATATACTGTGTATCTCATAAAACATCAGTAATCATTAGCAAATACCTCTGAAAGCTAAATCACCCAATGCCTATGTAGAATAATGTTTTTAGAGAAAATATTTTAAGGATTTGAGGTAAGTTAAATCCATTTATGTTTATTGAGTGAAGTACTATATGATAATATAACTGAATATAATTTAATATATATTATCTACTGTTTCCAGGTTGAGTTCCATTTTTTATATCCAGTTCTCCAAGTTGTAAATACCTTCTTTAGTTCTGCCTCTGAAATTGAAATCAGTCATTTGCAGTATGACTTTTACCATTACCTGTCATATTGTAAATCTGACATCCCATTTTATATCTGAATGACAAATGAAGCCTTTTCCTCTTTATATGCCGTGGCTCTGCAAGTATCAGTCGCCTCCAATGTCTCAGGACTGGGTGTTTGCTCTATGTGTGCGGGCTTTGCAGGTTCTCCCTGGGTGGTGTGGGTTTCCTCCACTTACTCACGGATTGCTCGCACCGTCCATGGATCGGCATTCTGGCCAGGGTGTACCCCAGCCTTATGTACTAAACTGCCCAGAAATTGTTCAAGCCCTATCTATCCAACCCCCGGACACCCTATTCTGGATAAGCATGTGGAAGATGGAGAAACTTCCTGTGTTATTCCTCAGTACTGATTTAACTGATCATTAAAAATTCTCACACTGTTCAAGTCGACACTGTAAATCTTGTGTCCTGGTCAGGTGTGGGTCTTATCCCCTTCCTTCTGTTTTACTTTCTTTCGTGAAGCCCCAGGGATGGTTGAGGATTTCTGTTGGCGCCATCTGGAGTCCTGCTTCAGCTGCCTGCGATCGTGACGGTGCGATTAGGAGATTAAGCTACTGGTGCTTCTTTTTCCCCATGGGAATAAGTGCTTGTGGTGACGCCCTGAGACAGCTAGCTGTTTTATCTGCGATGACATTTTATCTGAACAGGTAGCAATGGTCACTAAAAAAATGGCATGAGAGTGAAAGTTGCATACAGTGTCAGTCAGAAGTCTGGACATGCCTACTGAAAAATCTTGTTTTATAACAAGGTTACAACTCCATGCACACTGTGAGGTTATGTAAGTACTGTATCATCTTATGAACAACGAAAAAGATGGAGTGCTGTGACAGATGACCAGGCCCCCACAATCCCCCAACCTAAACCCTGTAGAGCTTGTCTGGGATCGAAGAGTAAGAGCAAAGTAGCCAACTTGTGTCCTGAACTTGTTGAAACTCCGTCAGGACTGTTGGAGAAGCATTCCAGGTGGCTACATCTGGAAGCTGGTTGAAAGAATGCCAAGAGTCTGCAATGCTGTCATCGAAGCAGAAGGAGCCTATTCTGAAGAGCCTAAGATTTAAGAAAATGTCATGCTGGACATTTCTCTTGGTCATTGCAAAATTTGATATGTTTCTTCATTCCCTTGGGGCTGTTTATTATAAGGTGAATAACATAGACAGGCGCATTACAACCAAGTGTATGTAGACTTTTGACTGGTATATATATATATGTGTTCATATGCAATGTGTATAATACTATACTAATCTACATGTAGATTTTAAATATAGATGTTTAGATGTTAAATATTTCTGTACCAAGATCTGAAGATGTTAAAAACATATCTCTTGACAAATTTTAAAGAGCTTTTTACTCTTCGCTGTCTCAAAGGCTCAGTGGACTGCACTGTTGGCTCAGACCTCGAGAGTTTGGGGTTTGAATCCCACCTTTGCTCTGTGGAGGTTTGCTGTTCTCCATGCAGTTAGGCTACTGGGGGTCTCTAAATTGTCCATAGTATATGACTGTGTGTGTGTACGTGCCCTGTGATGGGTTCGCATCGCATCCAAGGGGGTGGCCTGGATATCCTGTGCCACCTGGGATAAGTCCCGCCCCCCACAATTCTGACCAGGATAAGTGGGTAGAGGAAGGTGGAAATGTTACAAGAAACCTGGCAGATTAGTGTTTCAAGGTCTGCCCACGTGGTGACACTCTGCAATGTATTTTGGCAGAATCTGAATAAACGTCGTCCCGTTTATAACATGTTCGCATTTCACCTTAGTGCAGGGTCAAATTTGGAAATTTGGAAGACTCAACATTGCCCTGGTTTTCATTGACTGAACCCTTGCAGCCCTTTTCTCCTGTGGTGCCTTGATATGAAAATAACCCAAATGTTGATGACAGGCACTGTGGGAGAGTGTCCCTGTCTGGCAGGGATTCTGGGTAATATCACCAGATAATCCAGAAGCACATCAGCGGTACGCATTTCACTTTAGCAGCACAGAGTGTGTAGCATGTAAAAATGGAGCAATGTCATAGGCTGGTGGTGATATTTAAGTGAACAATCATCAGCTCATGGTTAATAATGTAGGCCGGAATTTTTAAACATCAGGGAATGTTCCCTTGTAGGAAGTGTTGAAGTGTTTATAAGTATTTTAAAGTGTTTCTAATGCTGTTTGGCATAGAAATGAATATTCACATTATGTAAATATCTGAAGTAAATGCATCACGATTGAAGTTTTGAGCAGAAGAGCTTTGGAGAGAGAAAAATCTCAATGCGCAAAGCTGTGTACTTTCTTTTTCTACACAATGTAAGTCCTCTTTTTCAGTGATGTGAGAAGAACAGAGGGAATTTATTTAACTAAATGAATAAAACTTAAAATTTAATATAATCTCAAAAGACCCTTGACTACATCATGCCTTGACTTCTGAAAAATAAATTATAAGTTTTAATTGACATAAAAAACCCACTAAACTTGAAGACATCATGTTTTTTTTAAATTTCAGATCTGGAATTAATTATATATATTAAAAACACAATTGCACAAGCACAGCACACCTACGGCTTGTTGCACGTAACACTGCATATGTCATGGTGCAGGAAGGACGGAGGTAAGGCAGGCGTTGGGGAAAAATAAAGTGGCTTTATTGAGGCCAAAACACAACAGGGGAAATCAAGTAAACAGGCACTATATACAGCACAGATGAGGGAGCAGACGAGAGGCACCTGGGATCATCCACACGAGGACTGTAACGAGAGGCAGGATTAAACGATGTATTGGCATTAGAGCCACACCATGGAGAACCGGGGCGTGACAACATACACAATATACAACTAAATAAATGTCAAAACATCCCAGGGAAATAAATAATTTCCATACCATAGATTATTGTAGACAATTTTCAGTATAAGCCTATCATCACATTAGCGGTGATTTATGTATAGTCTAAAGGTGGTTTCATTTTAAAAATGTCCTGTTCTGACAGTTACACTGCAGTACAAGATGAATTTGCAATGCATAGCAAACCTAAGTACTGAACTGATGGAAAGTGTTTTAGAAACAGATAATGGTTAGTTGGTTTGCTAAACAGCTTCTGGTCACTCAATTTCAAGGTGACCTCTTAGTCAGAAAGACCATTGGATTTATATAGTGTTACCACTGTTGGTCGAAAACCAAAACAGGTTTCTGTGAGATAACTGCAATTCAGGACTCAAATGTACTCATAACAAGTCGAGCTATTAAAATGAGTGATATTAGGGTCATGATGACGGGGTCATGCTGTCTCCGCCAGGCCCTGCCATCCCGGTCGGGGTGGATGTCCAGGTGGAAAGCTTGGACAGTATTTCTGAAGTGGACATGGTAAGCACACAGACTGCGATTCTTTCACAACATTTTCACAGAATATTTTCTGTGTAGAAGCAGTACCCTTTAGTGGTTTTACATTGGGTAGGTGGGTGGATGGATGGATGGATGAATAAACATACATACAGACTTATTTTTTATATTTATATATATATATATATATATATATATATATATATATATATATATATATATATATATATAT